CAAAAAAAAAAACCTATTGGTAAGTCAAAAACCTGAAACAGAGCTGTGCCGGAAGATGTTACCAAAAGAGTGTTCAGTGTTTACTGGGTGCTGAAATAACAAATGACTGAATACGTAAAACTCTCACACAGTTCTCTGACTGCATCACATATTATACAGAGCTGTGGAGGTTAGGTGGACAAAAAAATTAATCCTTGTCAGTCTGGCACAGGAATAAACAGTATCTTACCACAGAGCTGGTAACAGATTTAATTCCAAGTATGTGAGCAGATAGGACAAGTAGGCAAGGGGTAATTTTTACCATTAGCACAGCACTATTATTGTACCCCACATCGTCTCTAGTAGTCATGGCTAAATTCCAGTGCTTTAATGAAAAGTGCAAAACCGAAACAGAGGACAAATTATGCACTGCAGAGGGAAAACCCTTTCTGACCTCCCATAGTGAAATGTTGTATTAATACAGTATAAATAGATATTTCTTTTAAAAAGTAATATTTCTTTATTTGGAATCTCTTTGTACTTACTATAAAATATTATATTTTTGAATTCATACCAGAATTCGAGTTGTAAATAATAGGAAATTCCCCATCCCATAAAACTTGTCAGACTTCATCCTAAAACAGTTAGGTTTCCCTTCCTCAAATACCCTGTTTAGAAGACTTCGAGAATGTCATTGTTTTGAAGATCAGACAGAAATCACACTGTTTATTTTCTTAGAATATACATGATCATAGTGAAAAAACCCCACAAAAGTTCTGAACCCACTTAATGCCTTTTTTTTTTTTAAATTGTCGCTATCAGGAGAAATGAACCAGATATTTATCTTGTCTATATTAAACCTCTGGGTTGGGGCGATCCTGAATACAAATAAAGGCTGGGGGATGAAGGGATGGAGAGCAGCCCTGCAGAGAAGGACTTCGGGGTGCTGGTGGATGAAAAACTCCATACAAGCCAGCAATGTGCTGGCAGCCCAGAAAGCCAATCGCATCCTGGGCTACATCAAAAGCAGCGTGAGCAGCAGGTTGAGGCAGGGGATCCTCCCTCTCTGCTCTGCTCTGGTGAGACCCCACCTGCAGTGCTGCTTGTGCGGGTCCAGAGGAGGGTTGTGGAGCTGCTCAGGAGGCTGGAGCAGCTCCCCTGTGAGGACAGGCTGGGAGAGTTGGGGTTGTTCAGCCTGGAGAAGAGAAGGCTCCGGGGAGACCTTAGAGCAGCCTTCAGTGCTTAAAGGGGGCTACAGGAGAGGTGGGGAGGGACTCTTGATCAGAGAGGGTAGTGGTAGAATGGGGGGGTCACGGTTTTGAACTGAAAGAAAGTTGGTTTAGATTAGATACTAGGAAGAAATTACTGTCAGGGTGGTGAGACACTGGCACAGCTGCCCAGAGAAGCTGTGGATGCCGCTCCCTGGAAGTGTTCAAGGCCAGGCTGGATGGGGCTTTGGGCAGCCTGGTTTAGTGGAAGGTGCTCGTGCCCATGGCAGGGGGCTTGAACTGGATGATCTTTAAGGTCCCTTCCAACGCAAACCATCCTATGATATTCCTGCAGCTTACAAAAACCAACTACAGAGTATTGCAGGTATATTGCTAAGAAGATACAATGCTATTTCACCACCTGTCATTTATCCTGGGGCATGTTTGGAAAATATGACAAGGATCTAGCATAGAGTAACATTTCCCATGCTGTGAAATCAAGATGAGAACATACAGAGAGCTGCTTAGTAACCAGGTAGTGCATAAACTGGTCTATGGCTTCGGTGTTTCCAGGCACACATTTAGAATAACTGTTGTCTGTTATTCTTGCCAGTGCCAGGAAATCTAGGGTGTTACAAGGACCATGGAGAGCCACCACCTTTGACTGGCACCAGCGAGACCTCCAATAAACTTACTATCCAAACATGCATCAGTTCCTGCCGAAGTCAACAATTTAAGGTGATTTCTTTGACATACATTTACAAAATGTTTTCGAAGACAAAAGATGGCAATATGCCTAGAGCTCCTTTAGGAGCTCTAAGGTCTCACTCCCACTGCAGGGGACCTAGCCCTCTCTCTGCATCCAGGGCAATCTGGGCAACAACCAATTAATAGGTGCTGGAGAGGGTACAGAGGTGGGCTACCAAGCTAGTAAAGGATTTGGAGCATGTCTTGTACAAGGAACAGCTGAGGGATCTGGGGCTGTTTATCCCGGAGAAGAGAAGGCTGAGGGGAGACCTTATCGCTCTCTGCAACTACCTGAAAGGAGGTTGTACGAGGCGGAGGTTGGTCTATTCTCCTTAGTAACAAGCGATACAGCAAGGGGAAATGGCCTTAAGCTGCACCAGGGGAGGTTCAGGCTGGATATTAGGAAGAATTTCTTTACTGAAAGGGTTGTCAGGCATTGGAACAGGCTGCCCGGGGAGGTGGTGGAATCACCATCCCTGAAGGTGTTTAAGACGGGTAGATGTTGTACTTAGGGACATGGTTTAGTGGTGTTGGTAGAGCTAGGACAAAGGTTGGACTTGATGATCTTGAAGGTCTCTTCCAACCGGAACTGTTCTATGATTCTATAATAATGCCAAGATGCCAGGAGAGAGTATGCTTGCTTACTGGATTTATGAGTGATAGGGTGCCCTAAATGCCCTCTATTCCATCTTTCTCCCTAGTTCTTAAGTAGCATCCTGACAGCTCAAACAAAAACTGTTTGTGGTGGGGCCTCTGATCGCTGACTAATCATACTTCTCCAAAACACACATATTCTGTTGCCACCTTTCTTGCTCATATAACCTCCTGCTGTCACTTCTTTAAATATTATCCCTCCCTTCCGTATGTATCTTTGTTGTCAAAGTTTGCAGGCATGGAATCAGGTTATGCTTGTTTCTGTGGAAATAATCCTGATTACTGGAGATACGGGGAGGCAGCCAGTACGGAATGCAACAGTGTTTGCTTTGGAGACCATACTCAGCCTTGCGGTGGGGATGGCAGAGTCATTCTTTTTGACAGTAAGTATTGAAACAGGCTCAGTTTTTCCCAAAGGAGAGGCCTCAAATGTTCAGCAAATTAGGGAAAAGGGTTTAAATGCAATGAGAACTGTTGCACACAAAACAGCAGAACACCTAAATTCAGTATAAAATAAAGCTGCTTTCCCTTTCTGCATAAAATTCACATCCCTTAATAATGTGAAATAGCTCTTCTAAGAGCTCAGGCAACTGACTCATGCTCCAGAGATTGTGTCTTACTTCCCCACAAATGCTACTATCTCAGCTGTCACAAACAGCATGTCACAGAAAGACTCCTTCAGAAATTATCTTAGCAGAGAGTAGATATATTGTTAAGTGAGGCACTGCAAATAAACTTTCAATCTACACTAACTTGGGTTTTTTTATTAAACCAGATGAGACTTGCTATAACCTGGTTAACACAAAGCAGTGTAGTAGAACTGAGACAGAGGAGTGTGCTGCAAAAGTACAAACAAGGTTGCTGTTATGACCATAACTGATTTCAGAATTTCTTATACATAGAAATCCTCCTTTCTACTCTTCTTTTCAGTATACATACCAGCACCAGCTGTGTAAGTTCACAGGTTGATGGTATGAGTACCCAGTTTGGCTGCAGTACAGGCTCCCAGTATAGCCAGGAGTACTGGAAAGTTCACAGTATGCATCAATACATGATTACTTCTCAGATCTCACTTGCCACTGATGTAGAAGCTACCTTTTAAGTCAAGTTATAAAATTCCTGGAACTAAAAGCCGCATCATTTTCCGCCTTCTGAACACACAACCGAACTTCCCATCTCCTTACTCTAAAAGTCTGGTTCCCAGCTAGTGAGACAGAAAGACATTTCAGTTGAGAAAAGAATTAGTCACTCTGCTCAGTTCCAAATTCTCCCCAAGATATGAAAAGAAGCATCGGAGTTGCATGTTGCTTTCAATGTTGAGATAGCATGGAGCTTCACACTGCCACATCCTCTGTTTCCTTCTGCTCTTGGCCTCCCAAATCCTTGATGGGTAAAGGCTTCCTTTGTAGCTTTCTTTTGCTGGAATGACTGAGGGCTCAGCAAGATGTTACCCTGCGCTGTCTTTTCTGATAAACAGCAAGGGAGAGAGCTATGGCCAGATAAGAGAGGTCATCCTAGCAACTGCCACCTATTTTCTTTTGCTGATGAGCAACACCTGCTCACCTCATTCCTCTTCTCCAAATTACGTTGTATCCCCAGAACCTTCGCCCTGATGCCTGTACACACACACACCACCCCGGCCCTCCCCGTTAACTGCATGTGCTTATGTGCTACTATCATGGCCTAAAGCTGTGACATTCAGACACACAACACAGAACACTGCCAGCTGTAGAAGGAAATGAGAGAGGGAAAGCATTTCCATTCCATATGGGGCCATGCTGTATTTTGTTGTGCACCTGTGGACCACTAATCATTTGCATTCTTAGTTAGCATTGCTGGTTTGAATAACATCTTGTGATTTAGTAATTACAAACAGGACAGCCAAATGTAACAATACCTGTAAGCCATTTGCAAAGAGGAAATTTGATATCAATGACAAATTTCAATTCTATCCAATCTATTCTATCTATTCAAACAATTCTATCTATTCGATTCAATCACCAGCTCTGTTAGCATGGAGTAAGTGAAAAACACAAATTCCTGTATGGGCCTTAGTACCTCTGTGGGGTCTTTCACATTCTTTCTATTTTTCTTTCGTATCTCAGTTCCTTTATAAGGTCTTTCGTAGTACAGTGCTGAAGTGTGAGGTTTGCTCAGGCTATGATCAGGCCTTGTTCCAGAAAAAGAGAAATGTTTTCACGGGATTTTTCTGGCAGACGTATGCTACTTCTTGTTCTTGTTCCCCCAGCTTTCCTTTTGATTTGTGTTTATTAAAGCTCCTTCCCAGAGGCCTGTGAAAACTGAGACACTTCACTTCCTTTATTTCCATTCTCACAGGCCTTTATTACAGGGCTTTAATTAAACTTTCAGAGAAAATAATTCTACTTTGATTCTTCAGTCCTTCACCTATGGTATGGGGGAGTAATAATTCTCATCCAAACATTTTGTCATGAAATACATTGTAATATTATATATACGTAATATTGTGTAGTTAGGGGATTTATAAAAATACATATATATGCATACATACCTATGTACAGTACGTTTTTTAAAATTATATAGGTGTATATATAGATACACATCAAGTAGGTTGGCTGGCATTTGGGTTTCTCTCTGGATTCATTGGTAAGTTTGCACTGGGAATCTCGATAGTTGTCAAGAAATATAAAGATATACTGGGCATTTTGAATATTTGAATATAAACGGTAGCAGCAAATCTAATTCTTTAGATTTCATAACATCTTGAAGTTACATAGTAAAGGTAAGGTCAAAATTAATTGAACAAGATCAAAAGACAGGATGCTACAAAGGTGATTAAGGGATTACAGCATCATTCATACAGCTTGGGTTGTTTAGCCTTGAGTAAAGAAGGCTCGGGACACACACACACACACACACACACACTTTTTCAATTTGCATAAATAACTGATGGGTGGGTGTAAAGATGAAGCCAGACTCTCCTCAGTGTTATCTAGTGAACACACAAGAGGCAACAAGCACAAATTGAAATCCACTAAAAAAACCTTTTTTTATGGCAAGGCTGAGACTAGAACAGGTTGCCCAGAGACACCTTGGAGTCTCCATCCCTGGAGACTCAAAACATAGCTAGACAATGTCTCCTGCTTTGAGCGGGGGGATTGGGCCAGACAATTTCCAGGGGTCCCTTCCAACCTCAGCTATTCTGTGAAGATTTGTTTTTTCAATTTGCTAATGCTGTGAAGGAATTTCAGTAACAACACTGAGAGTTACAGTCAGTAATCCACTTGTCTGCTTGCCTGATAGGGATGGAGAAGTGTCTGAATCAGTGACTTAGCTTTCATCGAGTTCCTGCAGGGATGTGGGGAAGGGTACGTGGTTACATACAAGGGCAAGGGATAGCTGCAGTATTCCAAATTGATAGGTCTTCTCAGAGTAATGAGAGAAAATGAGCATAACCCAAGCAAATGCAACATAATAGCTGTGCTCCCAGTGCTGCGGAAGATAAAAGAACACCAATCCGAGAGAAAGTGCATCCTGCTGGGGTGGCAGGTCTGCACCTTCAAATCACATTTGAGTATTGGAATCTACAGAGTGCTAAAGAGGAGCATAATGAATGTATAACCTCTTTTTTTTTTTTTTTTTTTCTTTTTCTTTTTTTCATGTTTCTCCCTCTCTTCTTTCCACAGCCCTTATTGGTGCTTGTGGAGGGAATTACACTTCTGCTACAGCTGTGATCTATTCTCCAGATTTTCCCGACACTTACGGCACAGGCAAAGTCTGTTACTGGACCATACAAGTTCCAGGAGCATCTCGAATCCACTTCAGCTTTGCCCTTTTTGAAATCAAAGATGCTACAGATATGGTGGAATTGCTGGATGGCTATACCTATGACGTTCTAGCTCGTTTTAATGGCAAGAATCGGCCTCCCCACACTTTTAACATCTCTTTGGATTTTGTAATTTTATACTTTTTCTCAGATGAAATCAATCAAGCCCAGGGATTTGCTATCAGATATAGAGGTAAGAGGCTAACTTTGCTGTTTCTACCTTTCAAGGAGCCGTTAAAACATTCAATTCACACAGGAGATTTATGAAGTGGCAGAAAAAGAGCAAATATTTTAACTGTTTTGTCTACAGGTGTTTCGTCTACCTTGTTGCCACTGCTTAGTGGATAAAAGCTTCACTACAATTTTTCTCAATTTGGAACACTCCAGCCACCTATGTTATAAATAGCAACATTTACATTTTCAGAAAGTTAATCCTATGCATACCCACCTGTCAAAACAGATTGGAAAATGACAAAGTTGAAACAAAACCAAAAAAACCCAGTAGTCCATCTGCATCTTGGTTCATCTTGGCTCTTTCCAACAGTCTATTCCACTCAGATCGAAAGTTGTCAGGAGAAAACATTTTAGTCCTTGAGTTGTACCTGCTGTTATGATGAACAGTTAGCTTCCAGAAAAATTCGGAGAACCCCACCTTGATGAAGTACAGGCTTTTTCTGGCATCTGACATAATTTGATTATTGGAGTTCTCTAAGTAAACCAGAGAGTAGTGCATATCTGTTTACAAGCACAAAATAAAGTCCAATTACACCTGTTAAGAAATTATTTGTAACCATATTCTTGTGATTTCAGCTGTGAAGGACAATGTGCATCAAAACAAGATTCCAATGAATCAGACCCTTTCAGAGAAGATAAATGAACAAGCAAATGTCAGCATCAATGCAGCCCGGTCGTCAAAGATACTTTATGTCATCACAACCAGCCCAAGCCATCCTAGTAGCGCCATGCCTGGTAATATTACAAGAAAATGTGGAAACAGAAAAAAAGATTCTGCCAAGGCACAATCTGGAGTCACTATTTCCTTTGCCTCCTCCTCCAGATGATCCGATCCAGTGTGTGTCTTACTAATAGATGAATTTTCATTTAGTGTAATTACCACTAACTGTGCTGCTCACATTACTTTTCAAAACTCACTTCTCAGCATGTTGGTTAGAAATAGTGTCAAGATGGTGGGTGCTTGAGAATGAAAGCACATCAGAATAAGATGTGAGTTAGAGCAGCCTCCTTACTAGAATCAGCTTCTGTGGCCAGTGCATACCATAGAACTGGTAAAAGATGCTGAAAAAAGAGCAAGCTTTTGTAGAGTCTGGAAGAGCCTGAGTGCTGGATGCATCCCAGTTATCCCAAGTTACAAAAGCTACAGCAATAATACAAAGGGGGCTAGACAAGGATGAAGCAAGTTAATGGGTGCAGGAGAGATGCCACTGAGAACTGTCATGTATCTAGAACTCACCTTCAAGGCATCATTCAGGAAATTGAGCTATAAATAGTTGAGGACTGGAAATGGAACTCTTAGTGAATAACACTATTGGTCTCTCCTATTTTAAACTACACTGGTCATCTGCTTTAAAGTATCATTGAAGCTAGGCCTTGATCACGCTGTGGACGCTCTAATAGTTCTGTAGTCCTGAAGCTGTCTGCATTCCAAACCTGAAGCGTCAGGGCATGACTGCACATGTACCCACGTACTATATACCCAAACTAACCGGGTTGCAGAACATGCCTAGGATTCTGGGTGGATATTCTGGCACTAGGCCCCAGCTAGCGCCTGAGTGACCTCAGCTACATTTAAGCTGCCTAGTGTTAAACTAGCTTGGGCACACCAGCCTGAGATGAAACTGCACCCTTGGATTTTATGCAGTTATGAAAATACTGTTAAAATCGTCATGAACAGTCAGTGCTTTGAGGAAAGGGCATTGGGTGGAAGGGAACTTAGGCTTCTGGTTTTTTGCTCCTTTGAGCTTCAGGACTTCTGAAGGTGTTGGCCTTTATTCAGTTGTTCTAATTCAAGGTCCTTGCAGGGCTGTTCAGTGTGCTGAATATGTCAGAGTTACATTCTAGTGTCGTCTCTTTTCCCATCTGGACAAGCTGTAGCCTCCCACTGCAAGATTACGGAAGTCCAAATGAAAAGGTGATCTAACAATGTAGAAATCAGCTCCCTTCGAGCCCCAGTCTCTTAAAGAGTTTAAATACTACAACGTGTCATGCTGTTCGTCAAGTCTTGCTTGACCTGCTGGTACAAGCAGAAGTAAATTGAAATGTAAATATACAATGACCAAGAGCCTTCAGTGTGAGGTAATAAAATAGCAGACCACAAATACTGATCACCTGTGTCAGTAGACTCTAGAAAGGAACCCCTCTTCCCCTACTTAGTGATTACTTACATAACTACTGATACAAAACTAGGCCATCTCCTTGCAAACATTGAGTTACTACTAGTAGCATATATTCTAGTATGTTGTTTAGTCTGCTTTTAAACTTTGAGTTTTGATTCCTTTCCTAGATACTAGTTAGATAATTTTACTTGTATTTGCTTTGGATTTTCCCAGCTTTCAATTTATAGGGAGCAGTCCTGCATGGGAAAACCCAGTTCTGACTGAGAGTTATACAGTTTCTGCCAGTCTTTGCAGAAAATACTTAAAGGTTTAAGGATCGTCAAATTACAATTTTGAATAAAGCATCACAAGGCTGTTTCTTTTGTGTAATATTCTTACTTTAAAAACTGTAAGTAAATGAATGTACTGAGAGCCCCTCCCCTCCCCTCCCCTCCCCTCTCCTCTCCTCTCCTCTCTTTTACAGGGTGGACAATATATAGTCTCACAGCACTGCTCATCCTCAGTGTTACAGCCATAATAGCAAAGATATTTCTCCACATTACCATGAGGTGAGTATGGAGCAAAACTGTCCCTGGAGAACTGACATATCAGCTCTGTACCAAGCCTGGTACACTTCATTTCTCTGCCTTCTGATACTGTCAGATTGGTCATATTCAAAACTAAGTTATATGTTACATATTTTTATCTTCATAAAAGATACTAAATAAGCATATTTTTTAACTTTCCAGTCTGTTAGGACAGCATTTGCTGCTAGAATGTGTCTTTTGGTCTTGTTTTGACAAGATTTGTATTTTAAGGAATAAAAAGATTTCTTATACTGAGTGATGTTATATAGCAAAAAGGAAAATGTCATCAGACATCTAGCATTGGTCAGAAGAGGTCAAATCATGATAATACTTTGCAGGAAAAAAATTAAATCCTCACATCAGAGAACTGGGAAAAAAAGCTACCTATAGGCTAGTTAATACTTTCTTTTACTGAAATATTGCAAATGGTTCAAAAAAGAACCACAAAGATTAAAAGCTTTGTTATAGTATGACACTTAACCAGTATAATTTTTTTGCCTATTAAAAACAACATAATTTTATTAATATTTTTTCCCTACACTTATACCAAGTAATTTTTGTGTTCTCTGGATGGACACACATTGAATGAAATGATCGATGAGTTAACAACAAATGAATGTTGAATATTGTACTTACATACCACAAACAGGCTTAAATATACAAGGAAATAAATTTATATTAATAGCAATTAGTAATAGAATAGGTACAGACTTCTTAGCTTAATGTCACTGCTTTCATTAGGGTAGCAACTATTCTAGCAACGGAATACCTAATTTTTCACTTGGTCAAGAGACATCCAATAAACACTCCAAAAACTTACATAACTCTGCAGCAGGTAGAAAGAAAAGGTGTTACAGATGTAGTGGAAGCTGCTAGCATTACCAGTGTAGCAGTAATGCAGACATACTAATGACAGCAGCTTCCCAAGCACCTTAACACTTACACTTGTTTCCTAGATCTCATCGGATACCATCTGCAACTGAAACAGAAGATTCCAGTGAGGTTACTACTGCTGGTGAGATCTGGAGTATATTTTACCAGCCATCTACATCAATATCCATCTTTAAGAAAAAGCTTCGAAGTCAACAAGATGATTGCAACCCCTTAGTGGGAAACTGAAGTGTCTTTTATTTTACAAGAATCAATCTTCCTAAAATCCAGGTGACTTGGGAATAATCTTTTTTTTTTTTCCTCCTACTTTCATACTTGTTTTCCAAAAAGTCCATTTCTAAAGCCCTTGGAGTGTCTTTGCCTCTCTGCTCTTCTCCTGGGTATACTAGTGACAACAGATTTAATTGCAGCAACAGTTTTGAAATATCTGGTGCTCATCAAATCTGTAGTGCTGTTAATCACTGCCCAATGCACTTAAAATATATGTAAAAACCTGTAAAATTCAAAATGTCCTGTATTCCTGCAAAAAGCAATTGAATGAGTATCTGTAGGTTGAGGGCTTCTTCTGTCCTGCTTTCGTGTACCACTGTAGTATATCAGGCTACTTTAGTCCCTTTATTCTCAAGGCTGAAGACAGAGGTGGATACTGATAACCTGTTCAGCTGCCACAGCAACCAGAGCTTAGTGGTCTTAATGTAAGCATGTCTAAATAGTACTGTACATTAAAATGGGAGTCAAAGACTTTGAGAAACTATCATCCTGGTTGCCCAGTGCTCTGCTGTTTCTACAAGCAGAGATGTACAAATGAAAATCAAATTAAATTCAGGAGGTAAACACTCTATGGAGTGTCAGCTGCAAATGTGAGTTTTAATGGAGTAATGCTTACCAGGTCAAGGTCTGCACAAGCAATGAAGACTTTTAAATGGCTGTGTCTGCCCCATCATTCGCCAATGATTATGATAATTTTGTTCATATTCGGTGATCCTTTAAAAAACTGTTGTGCTCCAATCTGAAGTCTGCATCCATTCTGGATGTAAGCTTAGGGCTTCTTAAAGGATTGTCCAAAGAAGTTGTAAATCCACTGAATTTTTAACAGTGAGGCCGACTAACACAAATTCTTAGTCTGCAGTTGAAGATACTGATCTCAGCAGCCTAAACTATTTACAAAGTTGTAGCCTGCTATCAACAACTCACCTATGCCAGGCTGTGCACCTGAACACATACGTGACAATTGCCTTGATACTTAGCTGCGAGAAGAAAAAGTGTCTCCTTGCCTGCAAAATTAAAACTGAACTGCATTTTTAAGATAGGGCATCTAATATTTAAACAATGAAATACTGTGCCTTACTTGCCATTGTAGACTTAGTCTTTTACCTGAATAGAATTAATTCCAGCTCCATTTATGTATCACAGATGAGTGCCAGAGACAGCTGAACAATACCCACAATAAATGCTTAATAGAAACAAGACTTTCCTAAGCCAGCAGTTATGGAATCATTTATATAAAAAATGGAATATCATGGGAACATCTAGTACTTTCTTGCATGAGCTGCTGGAAAAAATACAGGAAAAGATAATTACAGTATTGCCTAAAATCAAGACAGGACGTGTTGTAAAATATGCTAGTTATCTCTTATGTGTCATCAGGTTGGATCAAGAAACACCATCTGTTTCAGACCCAACAAAAATTCTTAAATTGCCTTTTTAACAGTCAGGGTTTGCATCATGCTGTGTAGGGACAGAGTCCACCTCACAGATTTGTAGCAAATAAATTACTTTGCTTCCTAAGTATGCTTAATATGGTTCACTAATGGAAAACCAGAGTGTAAAGCTGGATCCTTAAGAGTTGCATTATGAGCACATTGTGATGAAGCTTTGTTTGCTTGCCTTATCAAATGTTCTTGAGCAGTTAAACATACAGTCAAAGGGACATTTATAAAGCAGTTAGCTAATGCTGATAAACTGAAAAAGCATCAGGAGCATGCCATGATTGATTTCTACCTACTGCAGAATGGGAAAATACAGACCTGTTAAGCTTCTCCAGTAAAGAATTCAATTTCACTATAAAATTAGAGAAAGCCCATTACAAACAACAACAAAAAAGTCTGATGGCACTAATGCAAAATCTCTAGAATTTAGAAACTGAGGTATTGCATCAGTCCCTTAGCTCCTCAATGATTTTTTAAAGAATAAAATCATATTTCCTGGGCCTTTCTTAGGGAATGTTTATCCAGTTTCTGTATGAAAGACCCGTCAGTCAATGGCAGATTAACTGGCCATGGCAACAATGAACATGAGGAAGCATAAGGTATTGGACAGTGTGCAGGTAAACACATTGATAAAAGTGTAGAGGAAATTGTTATGTTCCCCCCAGATCTTTCAGGTTATCTGATTTTAGATACCTCTAATACTAGGAAAAAGAGCAATAGAAATAAAAGCATGGACAGCATCCCTTAAATAGCACTTCTTACTATAGAGGCCTGAGACCGTAACGAGCAGGTAGATCTCTGCTGTGGATTTCTTCAAAATGTGGTATGGTCACTCGCACTCCCAGTACAAACACTTCAGTGGCGTGGTGGTATATAGCCAATATATACGGTATCCATTAACATAGCACTTTTTACAATCTTTGCTATAAGGGTTTAGGGAGAGAAAGAAGAAAAGTCTGACATGCACAACTGTTGTAATCCCATATGATTCAGCACACAGAAATGCCCCTACGACACTAGCAGCTGAGCGCTGACAGCTGGAGGGCACGGACACCTCAGGATATTGGTGTTTACAGCATTTTCTTCAACAAATTGAAAATAACTGCAGAAGAAGAATTGGTTTGGAATTGTAGCTGAATGGCCTTCTGACCTCCTACCTAGCACTTCCCTCAACAGGCTGGACAGGCTGCAAATGTGACACTGGCCACAATTTCAAAAGCAACTGGTTTTGACAACAAAACCATCATGCAGAGCTGCCTCCTCATACCCATGCTTTCCAGCCCCTGCTCTGGCCCCCTCCTCACTCTGTTGTGTTAGTATTACTGGCTGTGTGGTGGTGCAATAAACTGATCAGGTTAAAAATTACCATCGCTTTTTCTTCCCTGAGTTACTTTTAACAGAGATGAGTTCTCTGATCTTGTTTATTTAGTGGTTGCACAGAGATGTGAGCTAACACAGCTAAGTGGACAATAAGCCATAGGAAAAAGACAGTTGCCTACCCCCCGAAGCAGGGGCAGTAAGTACTTACACTGGCACTGCCTCCTTACTTTATGCAGTTACAATAGCCTACAGTGCACGTGGACCTCAGGTGGAAGGCGGCCAGCTGGACAAGTGGCGGCCCTAATTCAAAATCTACATTTATAACTAGTTTAGTTTGTTGACGAAATGATTTTATATGTACTTTTGTCTTAATATTGTTATGTTGGGGGGAAATAGAGACTGTTATTTAAAAATATGTGTGTGGTATGCTATCATAGTAATATATATTTATGTATGTATAGGAAATGCATTATTTAATACAGCATATTATGCCTGTATCTTCCTAACCTTTTATAGGAAGAAAAGATGTTAGTTTACACTCTGGGAAAAATAAATTTTCTATACACTGTAACCATAGGAAAAAAATCAAAGATAATTCCTTGGTATACGTGATAGAAGAACACTGAGAAGAGGGTAATTCTCACTCAGTTATGTGGCAGAATAGATGCTGATGGAACTATTGCTTTAAGATGCACTTTCCTCCTTTGAATCTCATTTCTAGCTTGTAATTGTATTAGGCTGTTCATCAGATTTTGCAAATTTATGTGCATATGCTCTCGGGACCATTTTAACATCAAACATGTCATCTGCTTTTTCAATCAAGCATTAACATCATCTTTTTTTATGGCTTGTTTCTGCCAGATTTTTCTACAGCCAGTACAATGTTGAGGAGGTTTATCACATTGCTCATGCAGACAACCCAGTGGTATTGCAGAATTATAGCCTCTGTACTCCAAGCTGCCCTGGCAATAGTATGAACAGAGGTTTTTCCTGATGGCCCTGGAAACTATACTGAATCTGCAGCCTGTACAACTACAGGCCAAACACAGCAGCAGACACTTGGCTGCCACTGAATGAGCATGACTAGCTATTCCAGTTTCATCTTCTGCTTAATAAGCCTTCTTAGGCAGTGGGAAGTACCGCCAACAGATTTTTCTAGTGCACCACTTTGCCTAAAGGAAGGGTGAACTACAAAAACAAATCCTGACACATACTTGTCCAACTAGTTCTTAATACCTTGCAGCAATGATATTTCACAATCTGCCAAGGCAACACAGTCCAGTGATAGTTTCACCTAAATATTATTCTAGACATTCTATCATTCTGCTACCTTCAGATCCCGAGAGTGGAAAACATAATTGCCTTCAGACCATGCCATGTTTTCTACAATCCCTCTGATCCTGACACACATACATTTCATGCAACTCATACTTTCTCCACTTTACTGAGCACCTGTGCTTTGCAATGAAATTTGGCATTCTGAATTTGAGTCTCAAGACAACTTACTGTAAATTCAAAGGCTATCACATCAACCAAATGAGACTGACAAGAAAACAGAATAAATCAAACTTGAAATGACTCACCACTGAAATATGTGCTGTGTTTATACATGGTCATCCTGCATTCAGCAAATGGCTGTAAGTACTAATTATAAAAAAATTAATACGGTGAATTTCTGCAGGAGGAGTTCAGTTAGTATCGCTAAAGTGTAGACAAGCATTGAATAAAGGAGGCACAAACTGCTGCAGTTCGCCAGCAGATAACAGCAGGATTGTCCGCTGTGGAGGTTAGAAGAGAATATTTGAGAATGATTACATGCAGAAAATACGTTATCGCTTTGAAAAGCAATTTCTGAGGTAACCACAAATTGTTTTGAGTTTACATGTTTTCAAACTGTTAGAAGTAACTATAACAATTCTTTCAGTGTTTTCTCCACAAATGGCAGCAACATGTATTTCCACTTTCCTGTGAGATGTATCTTTTCTTTCATGAATTCCTCCTTCTGACCAAAATAATGCTACACTCCGTCCAAAAAATCTTCAGCTATATTTTATGTAAACATCTGAATACCAGTGTCAGATACCAAAACTGTCTCCAGCTCTTCGTGTCAGGACTCAAACTCTCATTTTCTTTTAGAAACACAACTGTCAGAGGGGATTGGCCTCCCCTTACACAGGGGAAGTTACTCTGCTTTCCTTT